ACAGCATCTCTCTGTGTTATTAGGGGCTGGCGTGGCCCTGGGACCAGGCTGGTGGGAAAACCTGCTTGTAACAGTCACCCTTGTAGATCTCTGGGCATTTCCCTAGTGCCAGATTTCACTTTAAACGTATAATGGCTCCCTCTATTATGTTATCTCTTTTCTTGTTCTCCTCTATTCTTCCCCTGACTCAATCTTTCTGCTCCATCATATCCTCCTCTGCCCTCCTGTTCTCCCTAACTCCCCCACCCCATGCTCCCATTTGCTCGAGAGATCTTGTCCCTTTCTCCTTCTCCATGGGACAATGTAAGTCTCTCTGAGGATCCTCCTTGTTTCCTAGATTTTCTGGTGGTGTGGACTGTAGGCTGATAACTCTTTGCTCTATGTCTAAAATCCATATATGAGAGAGTACATACCGTGTTTGTCTTTTTATGTCTGGGTTACCTCACTCAGGATGGTTTCTTCTAGTCCCATCCATTTGCCAGCGAATTTCAAGATTCCATTTTTTTCCTGCTGAGTAGTACTCCATTTGTGTTAATGTACCATATTTTCTCCATCCATTCTTCAGTTGCGGGGCATCTAGGTTGTTTCCAGGTTCTGGCTATTACAAATAATGCTGCTATGAACATAGTTGAACAGATGTTCTTGTTGTATGAATGTGCATCTTTTGGGTATATGCCTAAGAGTGGAATTGCTGGATCTTGAGGTAAACTGATCCCCACTTTTTCTGAGGAACTGACATACTGATTTCCAAAGTGGCTGTACAAATTTTCACCCCCTACCAACAGTGGAGGAGTGTAACTCTTTCCCAACATCCTCTCCAGCATAAACTGTCTTTGGTGTTTTTGATTTTAGCCATTCTGACAGGAGTAAAATGGTATCTCAGAGTTGTTGATTTGCATTTCCCTGATGGATAAGGCTGTTGAGCACTTTCTTATGTGTCTTTCATTCATTTTATATTCCTTTATTGAGAATTCTCTACTTAGTTCTGTATTCCACTTTTTAATTGGATTATTTGGTGTTTTGGTAACTAGCTTCTTGAATTCTTTGTATATTTTGGAGACCAGTTCTCTGTCAGATGGGGTTGGTGAAGACCTTTTCCCAGTCTGTGGGCTGGTGTTTTGTCTCATTGACTGTGTCCTTTGCCTTACATAAGATTTTCAATTTCAGGAGGTACCATTTATTAATTGTTGATCTCAGTGCCTGTGCTACTGGTGTTATGTTCAGGAAGCTGTCTCCTGTACCAATTCGTTCAAGGGTACCTCCCACTTTCTCTACAAAGAGGTTCAGTGTGGCTGGATTTATGTTGAGGTCTTTGATCCATTTGGACTTTTTGTGCATGGTAACAGATATGGGTCTATCTGGATTCTTTCACAGGTCAGCATCCAGTTATGCCAGCACCATTTGTTGAAGATGCTTTCCTTTTTCTATTGTATAATTTTTGCTTCTTTGCCAACAATCAAGTGTTTTTGAGGTGTGTGGGTTAATATCTGGGTTTTTAATTTGATTTCATTGGTCTTCCTGTCTATTTTTGTGCCAATACCAAGCTGTTTTCAGGACTATCGCTCTATAATAGAGCTTGAGGTCAGGGATGGTGATGCTTCTGGAAGTTCCTTTATTGTACAGGGTTATTTTTGTCTTTCCTGTTTTTTTTTTCTATATGAAGTTGAGTATTATTCTTTCAAGGTCTGTGAAGAATTGTGCTGGGATTTTCATGAGGATTACATTGAATCTGTAGATTGCTTTTGGCAAGACTGTCATTTTTAGTATGTTGGTCATACCTTTGCAAGAGCATGGGTGATCTTTCCACTTTCTGTTATCTAATTTCCTTTTTTAAAGACGCTAAGTTCTTGCTGTATAGGTCTTTCGCTTGTTTGGTTAGCATTACCCCAAGGTATTTTATGTTGTATTTGCTATTGTGAAAGGTAATGTCTCTCTTGATTTCTTTCTCAGCCCATTTATCATCTGTAGGGCTACGGATTTTTTTTTTTTTAAATTTAATATTGTATCCTGCCACTTTGCTGAAGGTGTTTATCAGCTGTAGGAGTTCCCTGGTAGAGATCATATCTAATTTGTATCCTCTTTTGTTTTCTGGTTTTGTTTTAGGGATTTGTTGGACTTAAGATTTTTCTTTGGTTGATGAATCTATTTCTCCTAGTGTATCTTCAATGCCTGAGATTCTCTCTTCCATCTCTTGTATCCTGTTGGTTACGCTGGCATCTGTAGTTCCTGATCGTTTACCCAGTTTTTCTATTTCCAGCATTCCTTCAGCCTGTGTTTTCTTTATTGTCTCTATTTCTGTTTTCAGGTCATTGACTGTTTCAATTGTTTCCTTCATCTGTTTGTTTTTTCTTGGCTTTTCTTTCTTTCCTTAAGAGATTTGTTGATTTGTTGCTTTTTTTTTTCTTCTTCCATTTCTTTAAAGGATTTTTTCATTTCCTCTTTAAGGGTCTCTATCATCTTCATGAAGTTGTTTTTTGGGTCCTTCTCTTCTGCTTCATCTCTATTGGGGTGTTCAAGTCTTGCTGGTGTGAGTCCCTACACTCTGGGGGTGTCACATTGATCTTGCTGTTGTTGACTGTGTTCTTATACTGTTGTCTACCTATCCCTTCTTCCAGTGTATATCGGTGTGGTGTCTCCCTCTCCTGGTGAGTACAGGACCAGGGTTTTCTCCTGGTGGATGCAAGCAGGTTCAATAGTCTGATGGCTCTCCTGGTCCTGTGGCTGGAGGTGGGACTAGGCCGATGGCCTGGTTTGATGGTATGGATTACCCTGTGCAGTTCCAAGTCCTCAGGAAGCTGTGAGCAGGGCACGGGAAGGCGGGCTCCTTCTGTGAGTGGAGGTAGGACCAGGGCACTGGCAGACTCTGAGCAGGCTGTTCTGATTAGCTCTGAGCAGCTAGTCCGACTTTCAAGTGGGCAGGATGCTCTATGCACACAAAGTTTTCAGGTGGTTCAGTAGAGTGGAAGAAATCCTCACTGCTCTCTAACACCCTGATAACAGCAATCTGAAGGTAAAGTTTCATTTCCTTAGTGTTCAGTAGGTTGCCAACAGCCACAGGTGGCCATTGGAATTAAAGTAAGACATTTGAGTTGCACAATATGCATGAGGGCTGTTGTACTGGGAATACATTGAAGTAAGGAAACAAATATGAGACATTCCCAGGACAAAAGATTCTGTTGTTTCATATGGATTTCATGTAAATTGCCATTTATTTCATTCAGGGTTCTAGTCAGTAGTTTACCAAGCCTTACTAATCCACGGTGAGTAGTTGCTCTGCAGTATTCACACCCCTGGATACTTTATTCTGTTGGAGTGAGCCAGTTTTAGAAGGATGTGCATTGAACTATTTGAGTACCATAGCCACATAGTGATAGCTCATGGCATATAAGGAGCCTTGAAGGCTGTGAGGGTCCTGCTGGGGAAGAGCTTCATGAATGATTTAGGACCACAGGGAAAGAACTCTCAGCTCGCAGCCCTCCTTCCGACTCTCCACTTCTGGGAACCGTGGTGGGATCTTCGGGATCATTTTGAAGATATCTGAAGTCAGACCAACACCACTCAAGATGAACATGACTCTGGCCACCGAGGAAGAACCACCACCACTCGAGGATCCTTCTTGAGTCACACTTTATAGGAGAATATTGGTTGAGGGAGAGCAGGAGCTGAAGGGCCCCAAGCAAGCCAAGCGAGCTGCTTATAAAGGGACCAGGGACACGGGTAAGGTCCTGATAGGTCCAGGCCGGTCTGCAGAGCCACCAAGCCTCGGGATTGGCCTGAGACGGAAGGCGTTCACGCGCATGTGCACTCTTGCAGGTGCGAACCCAGATGGCTCCAAGCCTTAAATGGAGTTGTTTACCACTTGCCCTACGGAAGTGGGCGCCATCTTGTAATGGCGATGCCTCCTTGGCCCCTAGCACCCTGCGGGCACTTCTTGCATCCCACAGAGGGATCTACATTGTCCTCCAGGAACAACGCTGTTTTTATGCCAACCGTTTAGAGATGGTTCAGTGTGGGGCCCGGCAGCTGCGGGGCCAGGTTCTAACAACCGAACCGCAGTGTCTTCTGTGGGTGGGGCCCTGGTCCCTGCCACCCTGATCCTCCTTAGTGTTCCCCCCTTCCCCTTTGCCCTCCCTGCTCTTATGTTTTTGCCTTTGTCTTTTAAACGTATTTTTAAACAGAAATTTATCTTGAATCACTACTCCATCCACAGAAATCCAAGTAAAAACAGTATTGTTATTTTCAGAGTCATCCCGTGTTGAAAAACCTATAAAACGATGGCCCCCTGTCAGCAGGAAGTAGCCAGACAGAAGCCTCCCCCTATTCTTAATATATATAAAGGGTCTGGCATCCCCCCCCCCCCCAACACACCCGGAAGCCTCGACTCTGAAACTGAATTCAAACAGCCGTCCAGAGATCGAACAACAACAAAGCAGCGGGAACCCGCTCCAGCCATGCAGCGGTTGCAAACGCGGACCCTGCAGGGCCGGAACGGCCGACTCCCTCCCTGCGCCCTAAGCAGCTCCTTTTCTCCTTTTCCCGCTTGCACACCCGTAGCTACAGAAACCGCAGCCCGAAGCACGTGACGCGCGTCCCCTTGACGGACGGATGAGGCGGGCGGGCGGGCGGGGACCAGCAGAGCCCCGGGGAAGTGCGCATGCGCGCGGCGGTGCGGGGCGCCCGGGGAAGTGCGCGGCGCCCGGGGAAGTGCGCATGCGCGCGGCGGTGCGGGGCGCCCGGGGAAGTGCGCATGCGCGCGGCGGTGCGGGGCGCCCGGGGAAGTGCGCATGCGCGCTGCGGGGCGTGCGGGCCGCGTCTCCACACTTCCGGGCCGTCCCGGCGGCGCCTGCGTCACGGCAGCCCGCGTCCCGTTGGACTTCCCGAGGTCTGCGCGGATCCCGCCCCCCCCCGACCACTTCCTGCGTCTGCCCGGGTGCACCGGAAGTGCAGACAGGCTGGAACACTGCGCAGCCGCAGGGCCCGAAGCGGGGCACCGGGCTGCCGTGGGTGGGACTGCACTTCCGTGTGCACCCGCATCTGCGCCCCGGCTGGCTCCAGACTGGTAAGAGCAAGTGTTCCCGCCCAGGCAGGTTCCTGCGCGGTCCGTGTCTGCCCGCCCGGGCATTTCTTCCTTTTAAGAAGTTGACCTTAAAATCATTTCCATTGCTTGGTCACGTCAAGGCAGGTGCGTGGAGCGCCGCAGTTGTGTCACTCTGGTATTCAGCTGTGCCGTGCGGGGTAGAAAAAGCCCACTTTAGAATGCTTTCCGGTCGTTTTGTTGTAGTCTTAGCATCCTTGTTGCCGAGAGGCAGGTCCCAGAGGGTGAGTTTTATCTTATGCATAGAGGTGTCTTATCTACATGTGTCTGCGCACCACGTTCGTGCCTTGCATGGGGAGACCAGAAGGGAGCGTCTTTTCCCCTGGTCACCAGGCGCCGAACCCTCTGGCAGCAGCAGCAAGCGCTCTTAAGCACTGAGCCATCTCTCCAGCTGCCTCTCACTCCCAGGGATCTTTCAATTTAGAATTTTCTTCAACTTCATTTTCTTTTTTTTTTTTTTTAACTTATTATTTCTTGCATGGTTTCACATCTTAGCGTATATCTTTCAAAAAAAAAAAAAGGCCTGCATTTATTTCAGTTAATTCCTAGAGTTGGTTGTCTGTGTTCCCTGGATGATTCCTTTTTGGCTTTTGAGACTAACGTAGAAAAGCAGTAGTCATCTTTTGTCTTCTGGCCCTTTCTGGCTTGTGCTCTGTCTTGATTTTCATTTTCTCTATAAATTATATTTCTAGATCCTAGTGTCTTAAAATCCAGTTTACACTGGTGGGGGCTTATGTATGTATTTATTTATTTAGTTTTTTTTTTTTTTTGTTAAGACTTCTGAACCGATGGGTGCCTCATAGCTGTGTATGTTTTGTATTTATTTATTATTATTATTTTACGTGTATGAATGTTTTGCCTTTACATTCATCTGTGCATTGCATGTGTGGCATGCACTCAATGCACAGAGCCTTATCTCCAGTCCCTGTGTTCTCAAGAGCTGTTAAGTGGCTCTGTAGTAAATGTCAACTAGCACTGAACTGTGAAAGTCACCAGAGGCTCTGCCTAGGAAATCAGCTGTGAGAATTTAGTCAGTAAGGCCTCCTTTTACAGCAGTGGTTCTCAACCTCCCTAATGCTGCTCATGCTGTGGTGAACCCCAGCCATAAAATTATTTCATGGCTACATTTGCTACTGTTATGAATTGTTCTGTAAATATCTGATATTCAGGACTTACGATATAGGACCTCTGTGGGTGTCATGACCCACAGGTTGAGAACCTTTGTTTTGAAGGACCCATTATGGGTATTTGTCACAACAGAGATCCCGATTTAGCACTTAGTAAAAAGTTTTGGTGTACAAAGCTTTTAAGAAAGGGATTTCTGAAAAATGAAAATGTTCACCAAAATATGTATTTGTGTATTCAAAGGTACCAAGGTCTTTAATTCTCATCCACTAGAGAGTAAGGCCTTCACTTTCCTTATTTCAGGTTGAGCACGAAGCAGGCTCCGGTTTCAATATGCAGAAGCGAAGAGGAAGGACAGGGAGAATCAGATGGCGAAGGCGGAGCTCTGACTGTAGAGGAGGTACAGGACTGGATGTGTGTGTGTATGTATGTATGTATGTATGTATGCATGCATGCATGTATGTATGTCTGTATGTGTCTTTGCTAGGGTTGCTGTTGCTGGGAAGAGACACCATGGCCACTGCAACTCTTACAAAGGCAGACATTCAATTGATGTGGCTCGCGGTTCATCATCACCGTAGCAGGGAGCATGGCAGTGTTCAGGCAGACGCGGTGCTGGTTACATCTTGATCAGAAAACGACAGGAAGTGAACTCAGACACTGCGTGGTATCTTGATCATAGGAAACCTCAAAGCCTGCCCCCACAATGACGCACTTCCTCCAACAAGGCCACACCCATTCCAACAAAGCCACACTTCCTAACAGTGCCCCTCCCTGTGACCTTATATGGGTTCAATTACACTCAAACTACCACATTCCACCCCCTGGCCTCCATAAGCTTGTAACAATATAAAGCAAAATGCATTTAGTCCAACTTTAAAAATCCCCATGGTCTATCACAGTCTCATCAATGTTTAAAAGTCCAGAGTTCAAAATCTCCTGAGATTCATGTAATCTCTTAGCTGTAATCCCCTATAAAATCAAAATCAAGAAAACAGATCACATGCTTCCAACACATAATAGCATAGGGAAGACATTACCGTTCCAAAGCACCAGCCAGCAAACTCCAAACTCTGCATCTCCCCGGCAAACTCCAAACTCTGCATCATCTCCCCGGCAAACTCCAAACTCTGCATCATCTCCCCGGCAAACTCCAAACTCTGCATCATCTCCCCGGCAAACTCCAAACTCCGCATCTCCATGTCAAAGTGCTCTGCAGCTGAGCTCCTTTCAGCTCTGTTGACTACAACACACTTCTCTCTCTTGGGCAGGTTCCACTCAGCAGCTCTCCTCAGCAGGTACCTCACAACTCTGGCATCTCCAGCATCTTAGGTTCTCCAAGGAAACCCAGGCTTCAACTCCACAGTTTCACACAATGGCCTCTCCTGGCTTCCATTCAGGGGCACCCCGACACATGCCTGACCTCATTGGCTTTCCTTAGTTATGGAGGCAAATTCCATAGCCTCTTCCTTCTAGCCTTAAGTCCAGAACCACATGGCTGAAGCTGCCAAGTTCTGCTGCTTGCTGGAGCTGGTACACGGCCCCTTGTTCAATTGCATCTTCATCAGCTTTCTGTCCTTCACTGCCTAAGCCTGTATGTCCTGAAACTGGATGTCTAGACCAGATTGGACCCGCCAGCCTCTGCCCTCAGAGTGCTGGGATTAAAGCTGTGCACCAGCATACCCAGCTCTAAGTTTTTCTTTATTTAGTTTCTGTTCACAGGTTGGAAATATAGCTGGGTGGGATGTTGACCCGAGACCACCACTCTCTTTATTCTAGAACAGAGCACTTCACTCAGCTCCTTTTCTCCTAAAATTTTACATTTACTGCTCCTCTTCAGGGTAAATCTCCATTAGAGTTAGCACCGGTAACACACAACAGAGGCTGTAATAGTCTGATTTTGAGGTTTCCTCTGCTAACAGAATTAATCCAAAACTCTTCACTTTAGACAAAGGACAAAAGGCAGCCACATTCTTCACCAAAATATCACAACAGTGAACTCCAGGCAACGTACGAAAATTCTCGGGGATCTCTTGAGCAGTTCCAACAACTCTTAGTACCTTTGTGCTCCGATGAGGATGGCCCGTTAAAGCCACACTTAAATCATTCCGCTGCCTTCCTAACCCAAATACCAAAGTCCAGTTTCCTCCAAACCAGAAAGAATCCGGTACCAACTTGTGGCATCTTAGTTAGGGATTCCATTTCTGTGAAGAGACACGTGACCACAGAAGGAAAACATTTAGAGGTGGCAGCTTACAGTTGAGAGGTTCAGTCCATCATCATCATCATTGTCACGGAAGGGAGTGTGGCAGTGTGCAGGCAGACTGTTGATCAGAAGGCAACAGGAAGTGGACTCAGACTGGGCAGCATATGCGCCTCAAAGCCCGCCCCCACAGTGACACACCTGCTCCAACAAAGCCGCAGGTCCCAACAGTGCCACACTCCCTTGTGAGTTTATGGGGTCAATTGCATTCAAACTACCTCAGTATGTTTCTATTTTTAGTTTAGTTTTTTCCTGAGAGTGGGTAGCTGAAGCAGAATAACTTGTAGTAGAGGCTGGGAAACCTAACATCAAGACCCTGGGTAGCTTGGTCTCTGGAAAGGCCTGCCTGCCTGCCTGTGGCCGGCTTGTTTGTCACTGTGCCCTGTCACATGTCAAGGACGTCTGTGTGCTCCCCACTTTTGGTGGAAAGGGGTGCAGGCAGTCAGGTCTGTGGCCTCATGCACAGTAAGTGCATGTTGTACCACTGAGATACATCCTCAGCCTCCTCTCTCATAAGGCTACCATCGTGAAGGTTCACCCTGTGACTTCTAACCCTGGTCATTCACTTCAGAGTCCCTTTCCAAATATCACGAGGTCTTCAACATTATAACTAAAAGAAACATAAAATATAAGTCATGTTTATTATGTATCTTTTGCTTGTTTTCAGCAGTATTGTGTAGCTTTTGATGTGTCGGTGCTATCTGTACATATACACACACACATATAGTTGGATCTATTAAGAATTTCATATTTTGTCATTTTGTCAGGTAGTAGTGGCCCACGCCTTTAATTTCAGCACTTGGGAGGCAGAGGGAGGTGGATCTCTGAGTTCAAGGCCAGCTTGGTATACAGAGTGAGTTCCAGGACAGCCAAGGTGGTTACAGAGAGAAACCCTGTCTCAAAACAACCCCCCCAAATATATATATATGTGTGTGTGTGTGTGTGTGTGTGTGTGTGTATATATATATATATATATATATATATATATATATTTGTTTTTTGTATTTTAAAACAAATTTGGAATTTGAATTTTTGGTTTACTAGTGTATGGAAATAAAATTAACTTTTTATGTATTGATTTGTATCTTGTAACTTTGCTAAACTCATTTGTTGTTTTGAAGTTTTTCTTAGATATTCCATGATTGCGCTTAGGTGTTCTGAAAATTTTGGGTTTTTACCCCCCCCCCCCCCCAGTTTGATTCTTTTCTTAATTTTCCCTGATTACCCTGGTTTAAGAGCTTTTATATTTTTGAGGAAAAGTGAGTTCCCTGTTCTGGATCTTAGAGGAGGTCACTTAGTGGTCACTGCTGTGGAATATTTGTATACTGTGTGAAGATAATATTGCTGTGATTGGTTTAATGCAAAGCTGAACAGCCAGCGACTAGGCAGGAGGTAAATGTAGAGCTTTTGGGCAGAGAGAGGAAGTAGGCAGGAGATTATGGAGGTGCAGGGGAATGGCCATTGAGACATGGAGGGAGTAGGTCATACAGAATGAAAGAAGGTAAAACGACACATGGTAAAATGTAGGCTAATAGAAGTGGAGTAATATCAAAAGGTATAAGAGCTGGCTAGGAGCAAGCCTAAGCTATAGGCTGAGCTTTCATAATTAGTAATAAGTCCCCAATGACATCGTTTGGGAGCTGGCTGGTGGGACAGAGGAAGACTTGTTACACTTCGCTGTTAATGTGGCAGCTGTGTGGAGGGACTAGGAATGGAACATAGGACTCCTCCAGGTGTGAGGCAGACACTCTGTCTACCCCCCAGGCTACAGCCCCTGCTGGGTTCCTCCTCCCCCCAGTGTCTTTTGTTAATATGTTATTTATCTGGGTTTGTACATCTCCTGTCTTCACCGGACTGCTGTTAGATTTTAATCAAATGGTTTTGTGCATGCATTGGAATAATCATATAGCAATGGCTTTTCTGCTCGGCGTGTATCATTTTCATTTGTAGTGAGACTTATTCCATTTATGATCTGCCTGTGTGATGTACTTCATTGGATCTATGGCTTTGCAGTGCTGACAACGATGTTAACTATGGCGTGTGTTCCTGCCCCTCCTGACAGTGAGCGAGAGCCACCGGCCTGAATTCATAGAGCTGAAAAAATGGCTGAAAGACAGAAAGTTTGAAGACACAGGCTTAGTACCTGCCTGCTTTCCAGGTGAGAGTCACGTGGGCGGGGCTGGGGCGGGGCCGGGGCGGGGCGGGGCCGGGGCGGGGCCGGGGCGGGGCCGGGGCGGGGCCGGGGCGGGGCTGGGGCGGGGCCGGGGCGGGGCTGGGGCGGGGTCAGGGCATGGTTCCTGTAGTGGCTGCATCATTTCTGGAAGCATCTGTGTTTGGGCTTCACTGTGTGTGTCTTACCTTTCTATGGAAAGGAATGACAGATGAGGAAAAGTTACGTTTGAAGGAGGAGAATAATAAAAGTAAGATGAGACCTTGAGGCCAGGCGTGGTGGTACACGCCTTTCAACCCAGCACTCAGTAGGCAGGGCCAGGCTGGTCTCTGAGTTGAGGCAAGCTTGGGCTACATGGTGAGTTCCAGGCAAGCCCGGCTATATAATAACCCTTATCTCAAAAGAAAAAAAATTAATAAATAAGATAAAAGGGCAAACTAGGTGTGGATAACACTTGAAAGACGTGAAGTCTTATGCTCTCCCGGGAGGCAGCGTTTGACTAGTCTTTGAAGAGCTCATGCAGCGGACAGGACCTGAACCTGAGGGGCTTGTAAACACACCTCAGAAGGTGTTCATCTTCCTTAGCGCTCGGGAGAAACCAGACTAAAGAGCTTTGAGCTTTCATGTCAGAAATGCTAACATCAACAAAACCCCTGGCAACAAGCACTGGAGAGGTTGTGTAGAAATAGATTCTCTCATTCACTGCTGGGAGGAACTCAGTCGATCCTCTACTCTGTATACCAGTGTGGGGAATCCTCAAGGAATCTAGAACCGGAATCTACCATAGGACTGAGCTAGGTCCACTCGGTGGAGTGTGTCCAGAGGACTCAGTAAACATTCAGCTACGTTCATTGCTGCTCTATTCACAATAGCCAGGAAATGGGGACAACCTGGATGTCCTTCAGCAGCTGAGTGGGTGGAGAATCGCGGTCTGAGCACCCAATGGGACTCTGTTCAGTTGTACAGAAAAACAAAGGCACGGAATTTCCGGCAAGTGGGCAGACGTAGTGAAGATCCTACTGAATGAGGTAACCCAGGCCCAGTGGCTGCCGCCTCCAGACCCTTAGATGTAAGGGGTAGCTACCTCCCCGCACGGAGGCAGCCAGTCTTTACGGCAGACCATCACCGTCTGCCATCACCGAGAGCCGCATCGCGCATAGTGCAGAGGTCGGCAGATCAGGGAGCCGGCCCCAGCAGACAGACACATCCGCGTCACGGTAGTGCCTCACCTGTGCGGCCCGAGCCACACCGAAGAAGCAGGAGTGTAAGAGCCAGGGCGCCAGGAAGTCTGCTGTGAAGCCGTCTCTCCTGGAAAGTGCGCGCACGCACGGTCAGAACTGTGCTGTTGTCAATGGACTTGGTGGCGTGGAAGGGTGGGCACTTTGTGGGACCCACTCTTAGACAAGGAACCCGTGACCGCTGGGAGAAGGAGAATTTGCCTCTCCCGGGATGCGCTTCCTCGCCGGTTAGCCAGCACAAAGTCAGCCTTGAAGTGCAAAAAGACGCTGTCAAGTTAGAAGTTTGGGTATCCTGGAGCCTCACCTGAAGGAGAGGCTGAGTCTTCAAAGCTTGTGTACTGAGCGGAGCGGAGGATCCCTCGAGGCTTGCTAGGATTGGGGAGCCATGCGTGCCAGTGGGGCTGTCTCAGGCCCAGGAAGTGGGTAGTTTTCCGAGGGTGAGGCGTGTTCCAGCTAAACACTTGAGGTACTTGTTCTGTATTACGGTTCGGCTCCCGGAGGGGAAGCCCCCGGTGCTGGCCTCAGCAAATACTGCCCCTTTGGCTGTTTGGACCTGTCTCTCTCATGATGGAGGTGCAGCCCTACAGGCTTCCACGGTTACCTGAACCGAGGCAGGTGACATTCTCCTTTGGAATTTGATAGCTCCTTTGGAGGCCAGATTGACATTGGTCTGGAATCAGTTGCTCAGAAGTTGGGCAGTGTCCTATGGACGTGGGTGGAAGGCAGCTCCAGAGCAGACCGGCGTGCTGTCCAGAAGGACTTGGGTCTGGCGTGGCAGAGAGAGTTCTTCACCACAGGGCATGCTTCGGATGTCATGGGGTCCTGCTGCCTGTGATCCCAGCGCTAAATCATGAGCTATTGGACTTGTCCTCCGGCCACTAGTTCACCTAACTGGGGATAGATTAACTTACATCTCCCAGGTAAATGAGAGATGCACACGAGGGCCCTTCCCGTGGGTCAGTCACACATGGTGGCTCTGGGGTCTAAAAACCAACACAGAGCTCAATTGTTGCTTGCAGGACAGAGAGCTGAATGTTTTGCAGTAGTGAACTATCCAGGGAGGCAAAGGGTTTAAAGGTAAAATGGGAGGGTTTTACAGTGGCTTTGACACAATTGTCCACAGCGAGGGTTTCACAGTGGCTTTGACACAATTGTCCACAGCCACAGAACCCCAGGGTGAGGGTGAGTGCAGTGCGGGGCAGTTGACTGGCGGGTAGGCATCCTCACACGACTGTTTATGTAAAGCTTTGGTTTAGCAGACAAGTTATGCCAGTTCCCATTGTAAGACAATGAAGTGTGAAGCGTCTGTCTGCCCTGGCTTCGTTTGTCAGGGTTTGACCCAAGGGCCTCCATTTTGTTTCTGACAACATTCACAGGACCGTGCTCTGTCAAGGTCTGTGTCTTTATGTGTCAGGCTGGGTCAGTACATCGCTCTCTTAGGTTGTATCATGTGGAATTCTTCACCAGCATTGTCCCTGCGTCGAGGTCCTTAGGTCTTGACCCAGAGCCCAGCTTTGCTGTTCAAGGGATGTAAGTCCACAGAGGGGTTCAGAACCCGTCCTCCTTGGGAGGGAAAGCCAAGCCACCCACCTGCCCTATTGTGTTGTTGTGACAGTTTTTAGCCCGTAAGGGGCGCCCAAGACCGCCAAGATAAGGTAGGATTTACCCCTCCATGTTTGGCTCTTACAGGAACTGGAAGAGGGCTGATGAGCAAAACATCACTGCAGGTGAGCACTTCTGTTTTACCCTTGAGGCTTGCTGTGTGTGCATGTGTGTGCGTGTGTGTGCTCGCGCACGCGTGTGTGCTCTGCTCACACCGAGTGAACTAGGTGTGCTTCACCTGTGCAGCCGTTTCTCTTGCTTATCAAATGGATATGTTTGGTTAGGGTTATGCCAAGGAAGCTCGAGTTTGCTGTGTAAGACAGACAGACAGACATCCCAGTCCTTTCGCTGACACGGCAGTGACATTGATCTGTTGTCACTTAAACAAGCACAGAGGGGGCGGATGACCTGCGCTCCGAGGTCCCGAGCCCTTCCGTCCCCTCGTCTCTCCGTCCTTCCGTCCTTCTGTCCCCTCGTCTCTCCGTCCTTCCGTCCTTCTGTCCCCTCGTCTCTCTGTCCTTCCATCCTTCTGTCCTTCCGGCTCCTCGGCTCTCCATCTCTCCGTCCCCTCGGCTCTCCCTAGGCCTCTCTGATTGTGAATTACAGGAGGGAGCGAGGGAGGGTGCAGGCTTCCTGCCCCCCTCTTTAAGGATGGTGCAGCCCCAGGGGCTGCCAAGGCATGAGTGAGGCGGGCTGTCTCTTCCCTGGCCTGTGCTCTCGCAGTGCACACTTAGGAGGAGGAAGGAGGCCGCTCGGGTGGGGCGCGGAGTGTGGCACAGCGATGTGTCTGCGATGGCAGCACGGCTGCTCTTGTCTAGGACGTGCGCGGGGACGGAGAGCGGGGACACGCCTTGGACCCCGCTGCCCCACAGCACGGTGGTCCCAGTTCTGCAGCTTCCGTTTTTCTTGCCTGGAATTCAGCATGTAACTCAGGCTAGCCCCAAACGCCCGTCTTCCTGCTCCCACCGTTGCGGTGCTGGGGTTAAGAGTGTGTGCCTTGACGCTTTGAAGTGTGTGCTAATGTGAACCGTGTTGAAAATGGAGATGTATGTTGTATGCAGTGAGATGTACGGATCTTAAATGTAGTTTTATATTTCTGTTGTGATAAAACACTGACCAGACGTAGCTTGGAAAAGACCGAGTTAACAGCACATCCCAAGGGAAGTCAGGGCAGGAGTTTTTAGCTGGAACCTGGAGGCAAGAACCGAAACAGAGGAGCGCTGCTTCCTGCCTTGGTTTTTTTCATGGTCTGCTCAGCCTGCTTTCTTGCACAATACAGGGCCATCTGCTCAGGGGTGGCATCACCCACAGTAGGGTGTGCCCTGGGACACCCCACAGGTAGGCCCATAGGCCAGTCTACAGCAGGCGATCCCTCCATTCAGCCCCTGTCCCATGTAACTCTAGTTTCTTTTCAAATTAACCAGTATGGTCCAGTCCTTTGTCAACCTGAGCAAAAGTATGTCACCATTAAACCATAAATAAGTCCCCTTGTTTCTCTCCGAGATCTTGTGCTAACACCACAGCGTAAACTGTAGAGTAACATCCAGATCTCACATCCTTGAAGAAAAACCAGACGCTTTAAAAGTTTAAGGCCGGGCATGGCATGCTGTTTCTCCTCCTCCCCCAGCTGCCTCTGGGCCTTGGCTTCTCTCCTCCTTCGTGGACTGATTCCTCCTTGGGTGGGGATACTCTGGCCGAGTGTTCAGCCTCTATTCTGGGCATGGAGACTCTACAAAGATGTCATCTCCAGACTCCGGTGGCTATCTCCCTGAGGAATCTTGGCCTTCGTTGAGGACCTTAACTGAAGTAGGAGGGAATGCCCCCGCTCTTTACCAGGTGCAGGCCTTCATGGCGGGGTCCTGCTTCCCACGTTAGACACAATTTAACTCAGGCAGCTCCTTGAGTGGCTGTCAGACCTGACAGATAAAGCATGCCACTCTCTCTGGTGTGCTGTTTCTGGCAGACACTGCAGGGGTTCCTGGAGTTGTAAACGATGGGCAAGGAGCCTGCAGCTTACGATTGATTGTGAGCGGCAAGGTTTTCAGAACTTCCCACCGGGCACTGGCCTAATGCCTCGGCCCCAACACGGTGCTCTAGTTAGCACTGCGCGGACGCTAGCACCCCTAAAGAATTGCAGGCACAGATGCCGAGCAACGAATAAGCATTCGGAATCCCTGGCTCACTCCCAAGAGGCTGCTGCTTTGCATGAAGATGAGAGGCAGCGCCACACACCAGTGAAGGGTGTAGCCTGCCAGAGGTGGGCAGCACGTCCCATGAGCTCCCAGGGGCCGGGAACATTCTTAGTTCAGCACCGCTCTCCTGTGGGGACCATAGTGAGTGTTTGTAATGGCAAACGCAGGGGCTTCAAGGCCAGGCATGGCGGCTCACACATATGGAGGTAGAGGCAGGCGGATCTCTGAATTCAAGGCCAGCCTGGCCTACATAGTGATTCTCAGGCCAGTCAGGGCCAGCTATGGAGAGAGAGAGAGAGAGAGAGAGAGAGAGAGAGAGAGAGAGAGAGAGAGAGAGAGAGAGAGAGAGACCTGTGGTGGTGTTTCGTTTATGATCTAACAAATAAAGCTTGCCTGAAGATCAGAGTGCAGAGCTGGGCACACTGGTCAGCCATAGCGGCCAGGCAGCGGTGGTGCACGCCTTTAATCTGTTACCTAGTTGGCTTTTCAGTTGTCTTCCATTTTTATATTTTGTTTGTTACTATATAAAGTGTTCCTTTTCATGGTTTGAGTTCTTTTTTAAAATGCTTTATTCTGGCTGATTTAGTTTTATAGATTTGAATCTGTTTCAAAGAAATTCTGAGTTCTATTGAATGCCATGAAAATATTTGTTACAATAAACACGATTCTTGGGGCTTAGGAAAAAAAACAAAAGAGATAAATACTTTCTTAGTCCAAACGGGGAGCGCTAAGGCATAACCACAGTCATGCTCTAACATGGAAAGATAAGGATGGGGAAAACAGACAGGCTGAGTAGATGTTCATTCAGGGAGACATAACTTACAACAGGGACAGATGAACATCAGCAGGTTCCTGGTCCCAGGGACGCCTCCGGATGACCTCTCTCTCCATACCGGAAGCAAGAGAGGGCTCCAGGGTCCCCTACCCCAGACCTAGTTCCCCAGGTCACGTCCGCACCTGTCCCCACCGCAATGGGCGTGGTCAGTGCGACAGGTGCGGACACAGTGAACACCTCACTGCAATGCTCAACCAAAGCCCAACAGTGCATCCCAGACCGCGCGGCTCGTTGTCTGGCGTCTGGGGCTCACTCACGACCTCCTGGACTCTGCCTTCCGGGACAGCTTGTCTTGGAGGCTGAGGCCAGTTCCACGCTATTGCGTGCCCCTGTCCTTGGTCACTTCATGGTCCTGGCATCTCCCGGACACCGGAGTCTCCACTGACGTTGAGGCCACACTTCACCGATGGCCTCTGCTGGCTTCTGACATTGCCAAACCTCAACTTCTCTTCATGGGCCTCTTCAGTCCTGGTTTCCATGGCAACGGAGGCCTCTCACGGATGTCAGAGTGCCGAGCTCAGCTCTTCATGATCCCTTCATGCCTTCAAACCAGTGCCATGTGAAAGACTTACACATTGTTTACCAGTTTCTGCTGCCTGCCCTCTGTTCGGCTTGCCCCGCCCACCCCCCCACCCCCACTGGACCACAAGCCTCTGTGTCCCGGAGCTGAGGAAGGCCCCCCTCTTCCCATATTTTATCTCAGTGATGCTGGTCTCTTGTTACTCACGGCTAACTTTGAAGCCAAGCTGATTATCATAGATTGTCCTGGTAAAGCAAAGGGTTTACTTCCACAGATTGTTAATTTCTAGAACCTCTCCTCTGACTGACTGGCCCTACCACAGTCAGTGCTTCTGTCTTTGCAAGCCGGGCCCGCACCGTGTGTGCTCTGGGGGCTTTCGCTATGCAGTGATGGGATTCAGGGTTTGCAAAGCCGAGGCGTCCTAAACCCTACCTTCTCTTTGGCAAGGAGGGACAGATGATCGTTTCATTGCCCAAGAGCTGTCTGCTCACCACGGACACCGTGATTCGGAGCTCCCTAGGCCCCTACATTAAGAAGTAAGTGACTACACCCTGCATACCTGGAGCCAGTGCTAGTCCTTGAAAGTTTCTGCCGTTGGCAGATGTGTGGTGACTGACAGAGCCTGAGGACCCAGCTCTTGTCTAGCCAAGAAATACCTGGTGTGATTTGAGACTTCACTCTCTTCCAGGTTTGTTCTGAATTCACTGGCAACCGTATCTCTAAGGTCTTCAGCAGGCTGACTGGGGTGTTGGGTGTGAACCCTGTCCCCTATTTACTAGGGAGCGGGCATGAAAGGGGATGGTGACAGGGTGAAAAAGTCCTGCAGATGCTACTTCCCTGCTGGTTCATCTATTGTACCTGCTTGGCTTCTTCAGCTGTGAACGGATTTGGCATTAGGGAGGCGTTGGATTTTGTTTGGGATGAAGGAGAGCAGGCAGTGTAGGTTGAGAGCCTTGTTCTGGGCACATGGTGACAAGTCTTTTGGGGCACCCTGAGGACAGAGAGAGTGAGAGCCTCAGCAGCAGTGATCTCTACATTTTGAGGGTTCCATCATAGACTGCGCTGTTTCATAACCCTGCCCCTCCCCCCATTCTTGATGGGCCTGTGTAGAACCAAGGATGCTTTACTCTGATCGCAGGCAGAATGTGTGGTGGCATGGGAATCCAGACTTTAAAAGGTAATGATAACATTGCTAAGTCTGCTCATGCCTAAGGGGTTGATTTGTGAGTAGCTATCCAGAATACAACCATATAACTTGTATCAGAACTTCTAAGTTTAAGAACAAAAGCTCAAAGTGTAAACTAATGAGCAGTGTCCGGTAGAACTTGCAGCAATGGTGGAGATGCTTTGTTTTGCATTATCCAAGATGCGAATCACAGATGCCCATTGAGTAACTGGAACGTGGCTTGTTTTACTAAAGAATGAGTCTTAAGCACTCCTTAACTATAAATAATTTAAATCCAAGTAGTCCCGAGAGCCAGCACCCACTGGCTCTCTGACATTGGAGTTTGCATCTCTGAATCTTGACCCCTCCAGACTCCCCATAGTAAACATCTTAACAAGGTGAAACCTGGGAGAAAAAGCTCTCAGCCAGGCAGTGGTGGTGCACGCCTCTAACCCCAGCACTGGGGAGGCAGAGGTGAGCGGATCTCTGTGAGTTGAGTCAGACTGGTCTACAGAGTGAGTTCCAGGACAGCCAGGGCTGTTACACAGAGAAACCCTGTCTCAGAAAACAAAGGGGGATTTGGGGAGGAGAAAGGAAAGGAGGGGAAGAGGGAGGGAGGGAGGGAGGCAGGCAGGCAGGCAGGCAAGCTTTCAACAAGAGAATCAGGGTGAAAACAAGATTTTTTTTTTCTTTTTTCTTTTATGCAAAGCAAATCTTGCCTACTAGCCCGGGAATGACATTGGTGGGCGTGAGGCCACAGACCGCGTTGGGTGTGCTCTGGAGAGGCACAGTCATAGGAGAGGTGCCTGTGTCTTGGATGGAGTAGTGACAGCTTGAGCACGTTCCCACGTTCCCTCTGAAGCAAACCAAACTGTTTGGCCGACTCCACACTTTAATTCCTTCGATTTGTCTTTCATTTTGCAAGGTGGAAGCCTCCTGCATCTCCTCTGCTGGCTCTGTGCACCTTTTTAATCTCAGAAAGGCATGCAGGCAGTCGGTCCCTCTGGAAAGCCTACCTGGACGTTTTACCCAAGTCATACACCTGTCCAGTCTGCTTTGAGCCGGAAGTGGTGGATCTTCTGCCCGAACCCCTAAAGTCGAAGGCGGAAGAACAGAGAGCCCACGTGCAGGACTTCTTTGCCTCTTCCAGAGCCTTCTTCTCCACCCTGCAGCCTCTGTTTGCGGAGTCTGTGGACGGCATTTTCAGCTACGGCGCCTTCCGGTGGGCCTGGTGCACCGTGAACACCAGAGCTGTGTACCTGAGGTCCCCGAGGCAGGGATGCCTTTCTGCGGAGCCAGACACGTGCGCACTTGCGCCGTTCCTGGATCTGCTGAACCACAGTCCACACGCGCAGGTGAGATGCTTCCGCGCACACGTGTCCTGCTGTCGCAGAGCCCCAGCACGGTGCCACAGCACAGGTGGGACCTGGGTCCCTTCAGCCGCTCCGTGTCCCCTGCGCTGATGTCATTCTGGCAAGCGGGGGTGGGGGGGTGGGGGGGGGCGGGGGGGGGGCTTTGCTTCTGGACTGCACTGCTCTCCCGGGCCTGCAGGGCCCTGTGCTGAGACAGAGTCTGTCTTTCCTGCCCTCCAGGGCTGGGGTGCGGTCTAGCTTCCTTCCCGCCCCATAGTAGGCTGCAGTTTGAAATGCCTGGTGACCAAGTCAGCCACAGGTGGGGAGTTAGTATGGTAACTTTTAGTGTAGGCTCAAGGGAGAAACCTTCCCCCTTCCCCCTGTAGGTAAAGGCAGCATTCAACGAGAGAGCCGGCTGCTATGAGATTAGGATGGCCTCACGCTGCGGGAAGCATCAGGAGGTGTTCATCTGCTACGGCCCCCACGATAACCGACGGCTGCTGCTGGAGTATGGCTTCGTCTCCGCCTGCAATCCTCAGGCCTGTGTGCCTGTCCCAGGAGGTTGGTGTGGCGCGGTGCCGCTCTCCCAGAGTTGCAGTAGGGAGGCCCTTGTGTGCAGGGTTCACTGGCCTCAGGCGGAGCTAGCCTTGCCTTCACTGATTGGAATCGGTGTAGTAGTAAACTGATGGATGAACTGAGGAAAGCTGCTCAGGAAATGAGTGACAGTCAGGCCTGGGAGGGGGCAGATCTTCCTGCTGAGCAGAAACTTAGCAAGCACTTCCGCAGAAGCCGTTCCTAAGCCACAGGCAAGTGGCCGGAGATTTCCCAGTGTGTGTTCGAGGCATTTATGTGCAGGTCAGAAGAACCTCTAGGGGAGATGATGTCTGCCCTGTAGGCAGAACAATGGTTACCTTTCTTAAGTTAAAGATAGAAGAGCCAGAACTGGGCCAGTGAGATGGTTCAGTGGGTACAGGGGCTTGCCACCAAGCCTGATGACCAAAGTTCAGTCCTCGGGACCCACAGGCGGAAGGAGAGAGCTGACTCCTGCAAATTGTCCTCTGCCCTGCACACGTGTGTGGTACACAGCTCATAAATTGAATCGGTGTGATGGTTTTTTAAAAAGAAAGTTGAGAGCAGGGACTTATACAGTGAATTAGAAAGCCAGCTCTGGCCGGGCACTCGGGAGGGAGGCAGAGGCTGGCGGATCTCTGTGAGTTCGAGGCCAGCCTGGTCTACAGAGTGAGTGTCAGGACAGCCAGGGCCGCACAGAGAAACCCTGTCTCAAGAAACAAACAAAAAATGGAGAGAGAAAGAGAGAAGGAAAAGGAAGGAAGGAAGGAAGGAAGGAGAGAAGGAAAGAAAGCCAGCTTTGAGATCGCCTCATTCAGAGCCCGCAGTTGCCAGACGATGGCTCTAACTGTCCGCAGTGCCAGGTAAACCCACTGAAAAACAACTACACTTAGTTATCTGTCCATTTCTCCACGTAAAAACAGAGTGTGTCCGCTCAGTGGCAGGACAATTGCCTGGCACGTGTAAGGCCCTGACTGAAGGAAAGGAAGGCTTGCTTTTGTCAAAATTATACCCCCAAAGTCCCTGTGTTTCTTTCCTCCACCTCCTCCTCCTCCTTCTTATATGAAATGCAGAATGGAAGCCCTGCCATCACCTCACAAACACAACAGAAACCCTTTGCTTCCTTCACAAACGCCGTGTCAGTTTTCACACATTCACTTAGTGGCTACGGTCGCCGATCCGTGGACGGCGCTGCACCTGGCGTGTAGACGCATTGCCCTCTTGTCTCCCTGAGTCATTGTGCAGCCACTGTCTCCCAGCAGCGGCTCTGGCGACTTCTCTTGTTACACTGGGGATGTGTTTGGTGGGGGCGTGAGCCTCGCCTCTCAGTATTCCGACCTCAGCCTTGCAGACCTCACAGCTCTTCAGGACAGTTAGTGGGAATTAGGAGACACTCTTGGTTCTGTGGGGATGGGAGCCAAGGTGCATGCGTGCTCTTCCTCTGAGTTGTACCCTACTGTGACATGAGTCTCCTCTCCGATGTAGGGACGCTGGTTAAGTACCTCCCAGCAGCAGATAAACAGCTGCACAAGAAGATGTCCATTCTGAAGGATCATGGCTTTACAGAGTGAGTGCTTTCTATCCCATTCCCAAGGAAATACGAAGGGTCCTGGCTTCCAGCTCCTGCCTCTGTGGTAGCTGGCGCATGGGCGTTTGTTAAGGTCTTACTGTGAAGTAAGGTTGTGCTCGGTGTTGGGGAATGTGCGAGTCAAGCTTGAAACAGTTCTGCGCATGTCATTAGGTGGGCCAGGTTCAGGTGGGACGGCAGGGGTTTGCCACAAGCCAGGCTGACCCCTAGCAGAGAACCTGTCTTCTGGCAAACTCAACATTTTGACATTTTCTTTTCCGTATAAATCAGGCTTTTCACGTGCAGCATCAGTGTGGGGCTGCTGACTTCCCTGTTATCTCCTGTGTGGTGTGGTTACCGGGGCCCTCGCTGTGGTCCCCTAAACCACGTTCAGTGTCCTACTGAAATTGACTGGAAAGTGGCCCTCATCTTAGGGCCACTGTTGCTGTGAGGAAACACCACGACCAAAAGCAGGTTGGAGAGGAAAGGGTTTATTTGGCTCACAGTTCTGCGCCATAGTCTGTTACTGAAGGAGGTCAGGGTGGACCGTGGAGGCAGGAGCTGATGCTCACTGGCTTGCTCCCCATGGCTTGCCCAGCCTGCTTTCTTATAGAGCCCAGGACCACCAGCCCAGGGATGGCCCCACCCACAGTGGGCTGGACCCTCCCCCACCAACCACTAATTGAGAGCCCTGTAGGCTTGATCTCATTAAGGAATTTTCTCAATCAAAGCTCCTTCTTCTCCAGTGTCAAGTTGACAAAGCTATCCGGCACAACCCCGAACAGTCAGAACACAAATCCCGTTGTGGAAATGAACCACGCAGACCGTTCTGAACCCCCGCTTTGCTTTGTTCATAGTATCCACACACCCATTTTTCTCACACCATTTTGACCCTGCGTGGAGGTGACCTGACTTATGTGCCCATGGAAAGCCACCGCTAGGTTCCTTAGGTGTTTGCCGTGATGTCATTTCTGAGTGCAGATTTGGTGCTTTCTGCTTTTCTCTTGCAGGAATTTGACGTTTGGCTGGGATGGGCCGTCCTGGAGGTTGCTCACAGCTCTTAAGTTGCTGTGTCTGGAAGCTGAGAAATTGTAAGTTTCACCTGAGTTGCCTTTTTATCCCCCCTTGTTTTTGGAAGCAGATGTTCTCGGTGTAACCCTGGCTGTCCTGGAACTCACTGTAGTCCAGGCTGGCCTTGAGCTCACAGAGATCCATCCGCCTGCTCTGTCTCCCGAGTGCATCACCACGGCCCGGCTCCTGCATTGTTTTAATGGTTGCCTGCTTCTTGGTGTAAATTGAAGGGGTTTGTTTGGGAGACTTGCGTTTAGGAGGGAAAAAGCAGAGGCTGCCCTGAAGCTGCCCTTCGAGTGACCGCCCAGCCTCTTAGAGTGCCTGGCTCGGAGAGCTTTGCCCCCTGGTGACCTGGCACTTACAGTCTGATTCGTGACTTCATGCTGTCAGCACTGACGTGTCCCAGGCACATCTCTGAGTAGGAGGGTTTTCCTGTGACAAGCGAGCTCCTCACTACGCCTTGTCTGGTCCCTTGTTTCCCTGTCGGAGCCCGCTCCAACCAGTCAGCTGGGTTACCTGAGCAGGGCGTGAGGACAGAAAAGGCAGGTAAGGAAAGAGACAGAAACACAGGATAGATTCCGGAGGTTGCCCGGTCCATGCCTTTCAGCACTGCGGACAGCTCCGAGTTTATTTTTAGATCATGTTTATGCACAGACTAGAGGCAAAGCAGTACAGATACCAGCATAGTCAGTTACCAGCATAGTCAGTTAACCAGCTCCCTGCACTATCCTAGAATGGAGGAGCAGCCGGGTTCACTATCTACCCCGCGAGTCCTGCTAGCAGCAATTAGACTCATTCCCTTATCTCCGTGTGCCTTTGGGCTGGCTGGCATCAGAAGCTCGTTTGTTGGATGATACGCTCTTTCCCGAGGGCTTAATCAGAACTTTCTCACGGCTCTCAAGGAGACTGGAGCAAGCGAGCGTGAGCTCTAATATCTTATATGTCAGAACAGACTCCAGATGGAAACCGAGTCACTCGTGGGCTCCCACACTCTGGGGTTGATCTAGAAGCCTGGCTGAAAGGCTTCTCTGTGAGAGGAAGCAGGCAGAGGAGCCCTGGTGTATACAAGCATTGTGGTGGTTCCGTAACATCCCGATGGGACTGTCGGTGACGTCTCTCGCTGGTCTTAATTACTAGAAATGTAGTTGACTCATGAGCAGCACAGGTTGGCACCCGGCAGATTCAATTGCATGGGAAAAAAATAATAATTGCACACAGAAATATTGAAAATTTTAAGAAAAAGTTAGTTGTAGAAAAGAAAAATAGAAAGACATCTACACATAGTTGACTTAGTGTTCTATTGTTGTGAAGAGACGCCATGACCTCAGAAACTTATAATAGAGAGCATTTACTTGGATCTCGCTTATGGTTTTGAAGGTGTGGTGGTCTGAATAGGAATGGCCCCACAGACCCATGCGTTTGAACATTTGGTCCAAAGGGAGTGGCGCTATTAGGAGGCGTGGCCTTGCTGGAGGAAGTGTGTCACTGTGGGGGCGGGCTTTGAGGTCTCATACGCTCAAGCTCTGCCCAGTGTGGCTCACGGTCTCCCTCTGCTGCCTGCAGATCGAGATGTAGAGCTCTCAGCGCCTTCTCCAGGACCGTGTGTCTGTCTGCACGCCACCATGCTCCCCACCATGACGATAATGGACTAGACCTCTGAAACTGTTTCCATTTATAAGAGCTGCTGTGGTCATGGTGTCTCCTCACAGGAGTAGAAACCCTCATGAAGTCAGGGCAGGGGCCTGGAGGCAGAACTGAAGCAGAACACTGCTCACTGGCTTGCTCCCCAAGCTCACATTTAGCTGCATCCCAGGACGCCTGCCTAGGGACAGCTCCACCCACGGTGGGATGGCCTCCTCCCATCGGGCATTAATCAAGACAGTGCTCCCTAGACCTGCTCACACACCACAGTGGGGCTGTCTCCTCACTAAGCTTCCCCTCGTCCCAGATGACTCTAGCTTGTGTCAGACTGACAAAAGCCAGCTAGCAAACAGCCTTTGAGTTTCTGTCCTCTGAATTGGCGTTACAGGAAAAGGCGGTCTCTTGCATTGTTTGCCCTCCCCCCCCCACCCCCTTGTGTAGTGCGTCTAACCTACACACGCATTAGTTGCTACGGCATCTCCTAGTCCACAGCAGGCTCCTGCTGTGGTTTTGTGGAAGGTGAAGATTTACACAATCTGAAGATGAACTAGAGTTTAGTTGCTACACACGGGTGGGGCGTCAGGTTTCACACCCAGAGCTCTGACTGTGTGTACCCCCCAAGCCAGCTGTCAGCTGTAGGTGCTGTTACTTGTAGAGATGAGATGGTGTGTTTCACCTTAAGACAGAGTAAGCCCTGCGCCTGGTGGGTCTCCTTCCTCGTACTGTAGAGAACGCAGGCAGGTGTGCAGTCAGCCCAGGGCACAGCCAGAGCACCGGCCCTGCCTGGGTTCCGTGTTCTTGGTTGGCACCCTTCGGGAGGAACTGTCACTTACAGCCAAGGGGCATGCAGTGTCCCCGTAGCTGGTGGGTGTGGCTCTGGCTACTTGTACGGCAGACGCAGGGCTGCCGTGAAAAGACAGTTCAGCCGCAGCTGTCCAAGAGCACCCAACTAGCTGGCTCTTTTTGGTTTTACTCCTTCTTACTCTTCCTTCCTCTGCTTCTGTGTCTCCGTTAGGGTTTCTGTTGCTATGAAGAGACACCATGACCATGGCAGCTCTTGTAAAGGAAAGCATTTCGTTGTGCTGGCTCACTTACAGTTCAAGGGTTCGGCCCGTTATCGCCGTGGCTGGGAGTACGGCAGCCTGCAGACAGACGTGGTGCTGGCTACATCTTGATCAGAAAGCAACAGAAAGGGGACTGTGTGACACACAGGGTGAAGCTTGAGCAAAAGAGACCTCAAAGCCCACCCCCACAGTGACGCACTTCCTCCAGCAAGGCCACGCCTACTCCAACAAGGCCACACCTCCTAATAGTGCCATTCCCTATGAGCTAATGGGGGCCAATTGCATCCAAACTGTCGTGGGAACTGCAGTGATATTACGGGTTTGGGGACGAGCCTCACCTCACAGTGCCCAGGAAGAGCAGGGACAGGGCTTGTGTGAACTCCGCAGGGCGAACGCCGTCTCCAGTACTGGGTCCTGGGGACCCGCTGAAGTGATCTTATTGTACATTCTGGTTCTAGTATGTCCTGGAAAAAAGTACTCCTCGGTGAAGCAACCTCAGATACAAATGAGAGGACAAGCTTGGGCGTGGCCCAGAGAATATGCTCGGCCTTCATCGAAGAGACTCAGGCTGCGCTGAGCAAGGTGTGTTTCCGGATGCTGCTTATCACAGGGTCCAGTCCCCCCGAGACTCCTTGTCTACGTGCTATTAGGAAAGTCTTGAGAATCTCTGTATTTGAGTGTGTTTACAGGGTTACACTCTAAAGTCACTAATGTGGTGCCAGGGAGGCCAATGTGTGAAGGGCTAGCGCGAGGACCTGGGTTCATATCCCCGGCACACACGTGTGCCCGTCACTCAGGGGGTAGGTAGGTAGGTGGAAACAGGAGAACTGTGAAGGCCCACTGGCCAGCCAGCCCAGTCCAGGGAGCTCCAGATTCAGCGAGAGGCCTCGGCTCAGACAAACTGCAGGTGGACCAGCAATAGACGCCGGCTCTCAGCGTCAGCCGCCGGGCCGGTCTGGAAGGTTTGCGTACAGTGTGCGGTGCACGCTCACCTTGGGGGTTGCCGAGTCACTGCTTAATGGTGTCACCCACGCTGGAGCTCTCGCGGTCTGTGTCTTGCCGTGCACGGCGAGTCTTGTTCCCAGCCCAGGTCACATGTCGTACAGGGAACTCTGGGACCTGCCCCTTCTCTCTAGCTAAACTCTGTATTTGTTAATATTTTCTTTGTTCATTCATCGTTGGCCACGTAGGTTGAGTCTTAATTTTTGCCTCATGTGTTATCCTTGCCTGACTTCTTAGTGGTAATGTCTCAACTGCTTCTTCCTGTGTGTGTCTTAATTTCACATATGTTTGTTTTAAACAGAAACCAGTTCATAAGAAACTTTCCTGTATTGAAATTAAAAATTTTAGTGCATTTTGGAGATTTTATGTTAAATGAAAAGAAAACCACAAAGGACAAGTACTGTCCATTTACAGGGGTTCCCAGGCCAGGGAGATTCTCAGGGCTGGGTGGAGGGGAGCAGGCTCACCGGGTCCCCGGCTGCCTGCCTCGAAGCAGTTACAACGGCAAATTCGATAATGCACTTCTGTTATAACAGAACATTAAAAATAACTTGCAGGTTTCTGACATGAAGGAGGGGAAGACGTTGCTGACGCATCAGCTCACGCTGGTAGAGGCGCTGCTGATGGAAGAGCTGAGGATCCTGCGGGCTTCCGCGGAGATTGTGAGCAGTTCACTAGCCTGCTTTCCCTGACGGCACGGGAAGCCTGTGATTCCCTCCTGTGGAGGGCGGACTTCCCGCGATTTCACTGCGGTTGGAATAGACAGACTTTTATATGAGGTTGTTTGAAGTCTTTGGATGGCTTCTATTAAACAGTGATGTGTCATATCCCTCCCTTCGCTCCTCCCACGGCATGGCGTGGGGGCTGCTCCCAGCACCGGGAAGGATGTCTGCAGGGACTAGGCATTGGGTAGCTGAGGACAGAGTTACACTTCACACTGTCGTTCTATGGAAGTGAGCGAGCGGCCGTGGGGAAGAAGGGCTAGGCTGTGTGATGAGCTGCAGAGTGGGAGCTGTAAGGGCCAGGCAGCCCTGTGTTCCGTTTCCGGGCGTCTCCTGTTTCATTTCCCTCATCGGCTGTTAATGGTCAAGACGTGATCCTCTGAGACTCTCAGGTACTCTCGCCTGAGGGACAAGTTGGGCCGGGTGGCTCTGGTGGCATGTGGTAGAGGGTTGGCAGTGTTGGGCCGCCCAGACCTTCCCTCTGTAGACTGGCTGAGGGAATGTTGAGGAGCCTTCTTGCCTGGGGGGGGGGAGGGTGGCTTGGGGGTTTGGGGGTCTTCCTGGGGACAGCAGGCCCTGATATTTCATGCTCCTAAAGTGGGGTTAGGAGCTTGTTCCCAGAAGGCTCTGGGAGGAGAAATGGCAGGAAGGCGCAGGCGCAGGAATTAGGAGCAGTGGGGAAGGGGGAGGACCCAGGAACCCGAGCCTGCATCCATTTAGCAGCTTCGAGCCTCAGATCCCCCCCACCCACCCCATGAATAAACCTGTTTCTTCTCCTGCTGCCCTCTCTCCCCTCGGTCCTGTTCTTCAGTTCTGGGTGCATGCTACAGAGCGCATGAGCGAGCGAGCGAGCGAGCGAGCTTGGCAGTCCCCTGGGCATCTGCTGACACCCGTTACATTCAGGCCAGGACAACTAAAGCCACTATGATGCTGTGTCCTGGCTCTGTTCTCCTAAGAACCTGGGTGCACAAGAGAGGGCAGACATTTCTAGCAGTGTGTCACCTTAAAGGCCCCTCCAAGTGTGTGCAGGAGCTAAGGCTGGCAGGTTTGGGGGCCGGTGCTGCTGTCCAGAGCCGTGCTACCTCAGACCTCAGACATGCCTTCTCCCCAGAACTCTAGTCCTCTCCTCTCCTCTCCTCTCCCCTCCGCTCCATGCAGCCCAGCAATACAGCACGATGCAGGCCGAGCTCACCAGGCCGAGCTCACCAGGCCGAGCATCTCAGCTGTGTTTGAGCCTCTGCTTGTGCATGGCACATACAAGTGCACACGCAAGCTTGTTTGTGTTGGCTTTTAAAGAATACATTTGTGTGTGCCTGTGTGTGTGTGTGTGTCCATGTGTGTTTTTGTACCCATGAGTGTGTGTGTGTGCCCCTGTGTGCCTCTGTGTGTGTGACTATGTGTATGTGTGTGCCCACGTGTGTCTGTGCCTCTGTGTGTGTGTACCTATGTGTGTTTGTCTGTGTGCGTCCGTGTGTATGTTTGTGTGTGTGCCCCTGTGTGTGTGCGTGTGTGTGCGTGTGCGTGCCCACGTGTGTATGTTTGTCTGTGTGTGAGTGCCCGCATCCCCCGTGGTGTGGTTATGGAGGTCCGAGGACAGCTTGTGGGAACTGAGCCTCTTCTCCCACTGTGTGGGACCTGGAGACGGAACTCAGGACGGCAGGTTTGGTGGCAAGCGTCCTCACCCACTCAGCCATGTCAGGGACCCGATTCTCTCTCTCTCTCTCCCTTTAAAAATGTTTGTGCTTATCGAACGTGTAGGTCATGTTGTGTGACTATGCATGTGCAAGGCGTGTTGTGTGAGTATACTTGTGCTTATGGTATGTGCTTGGCGTGTTGTGCGAGTATGCGTGTGCATGGCATGTTGTATGTGTGTGCATGTGGGGTGCACATGTGTGTCAGGCTTGAGGGCAACCTTAGGTCTTATTGCGAGCCCCCATTCCTACCTCTGTAGTGCTGGGATTACACGTGTGCACCGACAGGCCAGGTCCCCTCCCCCTCCCATGGGTGATGGGGATTGAACTCAGGTCCTCACGCTTGTATTAACACACACACGATTGACTCCCTAGCCCGTGGTTCTGTTTTTTTTTTTTTTTTTTTTTTTTAACAGCTATGATGTATCTCATGATACACCAAGCCAGGGTTCAGCAAAATTTCTGTAGAGGATTAAATATTAAATAGTTTAAAAGTTTAAGTTCTCTGGCTCTTAGTGTGGCCTTTGTGCCATATATTGTAGACAGAATTGAGACCATAGGTAAGCAGGTCACATAACTTTCAGTGAAACTTTGTTAAAAGGACAGGTGGTGAGAAACCCTTTATACTATTCAAAACGAAAAGTCCCCTTGAACATAGAAACTTTCACAGACAACCCGTGGTTATCATTGTTTCAGTGACTAGAAAAAATAAAAAATAAAAAAAGACGCAGTAACACAGCACTCCACCACAGTCCTGTAGACACACTTAATCTGGTATTTTACAGCCACAACTGATCCGAGTTTACTTGGTAGACGGTGGTATAGGACCGGTTTTCAGACAGACCTTGGCGAACATACCTGTAGAGATGACCCTGGCAGCGCAGTCTCTGGCCTCCAGGTAGGACCATTGTTTCTAGGCCACCCATCTCCATGTGTTCTTAGAAAGCCAAGGGTCACAGCCACAGACCTGCCTGCCCTCAGGCGGGAAGGCCCAGCCTACGCAGGGCTTCACCTCTCACCAGCCCCCACCTCTTGATTCTCAGCTGTGGCTTCTGCTCACCTGCGGTTTCTGTGACCCTGGCTTCCTTATCCGGTTGCTGAGTATGTGGGTGGTTAGACTCCTGCTGCTGCCTTGGCCTCGGGCTAGACGCCCGGGAGTTAAGCCATCCTTCTGTGTCCTCCAGGCCCACCGTAGGCTGGCAGTGCTGGCTCTCCACCTGGGGGCTTTAAGCGCTTGCTCCAGGGTAGAAGCTGTGGTTCTGAGTCAGAGAGTGACCTCTGACCTCCCAGGAGAAAAGGAAGCAGATGCCGACCTCAGGCTTCAGGGTCAAGAGGTCTTGAGTTTCAGCTTGGCCATTGGTCGGTAGCTGTCCTGTCCGGGGTGTCCGGGTTAAGGTTTGGTCCTCGTGTCCCGGGAGGGAAAGCAGAGTAAACACATTGATTTCGTGGCTGGCAGCTGCACCTGGGACTTTTGTCACGAATGCTGCAAGTTGGGTCACTCGGGAGTAAACTTGCTTTTACAGAGCCACGTGCGAGCGGAAGGGGACGTAAACCACGGGAGGGAAGAGGTGGCCCAGTGAGCATCTCTCTGTGTGTGTGTGTTTCCTTGTATGTGTATGCGCCCACATGAGCGTGTATTTGCGTGTGTGAGGGTACGTGTGTGTCTGTTTTCGTGTGTGTGCGCATGCGCGCGCGTGCCTGTGAGAGGCATGCACATGGAGACTTAAGGTCGTTGCTGGCAGTCTTGGTTACTCCCCCTTGTGCTGAGGAGAGGGCTGTCAGATAACCCAGAGCTCACCAATAGTCTAGTCCATGCTTCAGTTCCCATCTCTGCTTGCACACTGGAATCAGGCAGGCTGCTGTGCTCGCCTGGCATCCGTATAGATCCTGAGGGACCCACACTCTGGTCATCACGCCCTAGCAAGACTTTCTCCACTTGGCTCCTCTTTCCTTTTGAGACAAGGCCTGGCTATGTGTCCAGGTGGGCCTTGAACCAGTGATCCTTCTGCCTCCCCCTCTGGAGTGCATGCACCGCAGGCATGCATCACGCGCATGGCTGCTGCATGCTACTTACCGCAACACCCCACAATACTGCGCTGCAGTGTTCTCACACAGCACGCCAACCATCACTCCTCAAGCCTCCTCCCATGCCCATCTGCTGCCCCGAGTCTGCTGCATCGTAGAGGAGGACACAGGCTCAGAGGGAGGACATATGTCCAGGGACTGCATGTAAGCAAAGAGCCCCAGGGCTGGTGTGGGAGGCTCCCAGAAGGCTGCTGGAGTCTACTGAGGTCATGTCCACAGCAGACCCTGGCAGCCCAGTCAGTTTTGCTTCAGGAATGCAGAGTTCAAAGAAGCTCCCAGGAGGGTCCTGAAGACCATCTATGTGTAATTATGCAGGAGCCCCCCCCCCCACTTTTGAGACAGGGTTTCTCTGTGGCTTTGGAGCCTGCCCTGGAACTCACTCTGTAGATCAGGCTGGCCTCGAACTCACAGAGAACCTCCTGCCTCTGCCTCCAGAGCGCTGGGGTTAAAAGTGTGTGCCATCACTGCCCTTTAACTCTTGTTAAGTGACTTTAAACAAATCTGAAGGCAAGTGCAGATTGGTTCTGAAGCAGGGCCAACTTAATCGATCTGAGTGTGCCAGGCATTAGTGGTCCGTAAACCTCCCTGGGCACAGCTGTGTGCAGTATCTTCTGGGATACAGGAGAAACCTGCTATAACTGTTCCCAACTGGAACATTCTGGTTTCGAAGACCTTCAGTTACGACAGTTTTGGGAGATGAGAGAGAGATTATTGCTCTATGATCTTATAGCTGAGAGCATTTGGTGTTAAATAAAGGGGCAGCCGAAGGGTCAAATGTTTTATTGTTTGGCTTAAAAATAGTTAGATATAAGCTCCCAGTGCATGACAAATAATATGCTTTATATTTTCTCACCAGGCTCCAGTAAAACAGATTGATGCCGGTTGCAGGTTGGACTTTGTAGTCTTGAGACACTTCCATCTTTGGACACGAGGTGGCGCCAGAGGACTGTTGTGCCGAGGATGCTGATTATTTGGACCTTAGGGCTCCATCAGAACAAGCGACCAAAGATGTCGCTCTGCTCCGTGTGAGCGGGATCCCAGTAAAGCAAAAACAACTCCGTGTTTTGTTTTGGGGACATGTTTACATTCCTTTTGGGAAGCAGTGTCTGTGCAAGGTGCGAGCAATGAGCATATGCACTGTGAATTCAAGGTCATCAGTGATGGTGTGTGTGTGTGGGGGGGGGGGGCTGGCCAATGCGCCGGGGTGGCTGAGTTCAGGGTGGAGGAGGGCCCCCTCCCCTGTGCTTCTCTGCAGATGAGGGGTGATGTCTTCAGCATCGCAGAGAAGATCAGGCAGGCAGCAGCTTGGCTGCTCCCTGATGGACAGGCAAAGACAAGAGCCACCTTTAAAGGGAGCGGGAAGGACCACCCACCCGCACGGAGGCCCTTCCTCAGGGCCTCGGCCTGCCTGCCTCATCTGGCGATGTTTCTAGAAAGGTGCGTTTTCTGGAGGGCTGGAAACGATCTGTTTCTGTGGACAGATGGCCCAGCCTTAGTTAGGGTTGCAGCCAGATCTGAGGGCCGAGCCTCAGATCTTGGCTCCTCTGTGTAGAGGCCGCTGACAGACTGCAGACCCCCTTGCAGGCTGAGTCCCAGGTGGCCCCAGGAAGAAAACCCTTGGTCTGCAGAGCTTCCAGCTTCTGTCATGGCATGCTTTTCCCTCTGGCCTCTCCCCTCCCCGACTCTTGCGGATTTTGGTCCTTGGGCTTA